ATAGGCCACAGAGTAATGCATGTACTAATCTCCACATCTCAATAACTGAACATCCACTAACAGCTTGTCCCATACTACCCAAATTCAACCATTTATAGCATTAAGTATAAGTAGTTAAGATCTCCATATTCCTGCAACATCTAGATGCAATCTCCATACATTTATGAATTCTTCACTCTAGTTTCCATTACACCTAATAAAGGAATGTTCATTATAAAATTGCTAAGATCTATCATCTAACAGGTTCATTAAACCCTCTCACATTACATGAGGCAAGTCGATCCATTAGATATGAGGGTGACAGAATTACTCACCCTTGCAACAGCAGTTGCCTGTTGCTTCTCCTTCTGACCATCACCAGATCCCACCCCGGTTATCTTCTTCTGAGAGGTAGGCCCTGGACCTCCACCCTTCCCACGTCCACTGCCTTTCTTAGACCGGCCCATTTCCAGTGTTTGCAGGAGATTTGCACCCCTGGCACACGTTATTCTACCAGGTGCCTTTTTGGAAACAACTTATAACCGAAAGGTTAATTTCAACCTGACAATTAATAACACAAAAACAAGGAATGACAATGATTGCCATCCTATCCACCCTAAGGACAACATGCTTGCAATGTCTATGTTGGAACAATGAAATATTAATCAACAAAAAATTTACGAAAACAGAATAAATACTAAAAGCTGAGAACATGGAAGACCAAATGCAAGACATTCAAGCACATGAACATCTTCATTTTTGGTGTATAAGTGTTGTTAGAAAATAGAAAAGAAGAATAATTTGAAGAAAAGAACCAAGAGCAGTAGCATGATGAGTTATAATCCTTTTAAAACTCGCCATAGAATCAGTAAACTCACAATACTGAAAAACTCTAAAATATGAGAAATAGATGCCAAAATTAGAGGTGGCAATTTCCCTCGATTCCTGCGGGGCCCCGCGGGTATCTCTGTCACGTGGACAGGGCGAGAGGAATATTTCTCCCCGCGGGGCGAGGATGGGGAGCATTTTCCCCCTGCGAAATTTTGTGGGGAATTTTCCCAGCCCCGTGGGCCCTGCGGGGATCCCCATCCCCATAAAATTTAAAATAAATATAAATTAATTTTATTTTAAATTTAATTCATCTTTCAAACTTAAACCCAAATCCAAACCCAAATCCAAACCCAAACACAAACTCAAACTCAATTCAATCAAAATTAAACTTAACCCAATTTTACCTAACCCAACCCAACCCAACCCAACCCAATCCAATCCATAAAAATTAACCCAATTCATTCCCTTACTTACATTTAACTTTAACCCTAATTCATTTCTCAATTTTCATTTTCACCTTCTCCTTCATTGTTGGTTTAATTTTTGCTTATGTTTTAGTTTAGCTTGGATTAATCTTTGTTTATGTTTGGAACAAATTTGTTAATTGTTGATTTAGTTATTTATATTGAATTGATTTTTATTTATATTTGGACAATTTATATTTGATTTTATATTTAAAAATTTTAGTTAATTGTATTTGAA